AAGCAGAGTCAATGGATAATTCCATTAGAGCCTTTTCTCTGGGAAGCTCCTTTACAATTCAGATGACCATGATTGTATCAGCTATCTTAGGTATCTGTTGATTGATATTAGCTGAATTGTGTTTTGTGGTCACCAGTAAAATTTCTAATGTTATATTTGAGTAGCGTAGTCTATTATCTAAAGATGATTCTTCATTACACAAAGGTGGATCATCCTAAAATTTCCACTAACAACCCTTAAAATTTCTAAAATTTTCACTATAACCCATAACCTTGTACATTAGATAGATGTAAACAGAATTCTATATGGGAGATTACTTGTAATTTATAAAGCACTTTAAAACTTTTAAATAGTGTCACAGGACAAATTAAATACCATCTTCTAACCTGCCCTCATCTCAGGTCTGTTGATTCTCTTACTAGGGTTATTTTCCCATTTCTATTCCCAGAGACAAGTTTTCCACTGCACTGTGCCTACTGCTGATAGCATTCTCCTGTCTAATGACGTATTGCTTATTTTTTAAGCATTAATTGACAACCATTGTGTACTTTTGTATACCAGGTATTGCCTTGTACACTATGAAGAGATACAAAAGGCTTCTTTAAATGCAAACATAATTTTTGCCCTCAAGTGGTTTATACTTGGGCAGGAGTTCCTTCATTCAGTCAACAATAATGTGCCAAAACATTGTTCTGGGCTCTGAAAATCCAAAAATAAACAAGATACCGGCTCTGCCCTCAAGAATTTCAGTGTAACTAAGGAGACCAAACAAATACAATATGGAAAAACTTTTACATAGCAAAAGTTCAAATACATTTCAATTAACATAAGAATTATCCCCGAGTAATAAACAAGCCACTTAACAATGGACTGGAAATAACTAGGTGCATCAGCCTTCAAGTGAGTTCCTAAGCAGCTCATTCCTACACTGCCCCCACTCCAGGCTCCTTGGCTCCAGACTCTCACCTATAGTCACTTTGTCTCTCATCAGCAGCCTCAAGTGTACGGTCCTTCCACTCACAGCCTAATTATTTCACTCTTTTACTCCAAGCTATGGACATTGTCACTAACTCCATTTTCCCCAACTTCTTCCGTTTTCAACACACATCCAACTATCTCAGGAAACTCTCTCCTCCTTTTTCTCTTGTTTCCTGTGTTTGTCCCTGTCCATCCTGTTCTTTTTCTAGTCATCCTTATTTGTGACTCAAAAGAGAATCTCGATCACTACTGCTTAGCAATTTTGTTCAAAATCCCCCTTAGGTCCCCAGCTACGTCTCCCGAGTTCCCCAGTTACATCTGTACTTTGCCAAGCATCAGTATTACTTAGTTTTTAAACTTTTCTTACTCAATTTTTAACTGTTGTTTAGTAGTACTACTTCAGTTCTTTTTCTACTTTTTTTGTTGTTGTAAATGTACTCTATGCATTTTATATGTGGAGTAAAGAGGACTGAATTGAAAATCAGAAAGCCTGGTTCTACTACTTACAAGTTGTGGCAACATGTTACTTGGTTTCTCTTAGCCTTTGTTTTCTTAGCCCTAAAATAGAGCTTGTAGTTCATTCACTCCCGAGTTCATAAAATTGTTGAGAATCAAGTGTGAATACATGCTAAGGGCTATGAAGCACTGTACAGATACTAAATATCTTCCTCCTCATTAGGTTATTTATATTTTGTGGCCAAGGCTAGGAACTCACACTGTCAACCATACTTTGATGGCACTGTTTCAATGGAAAAAATGAGCTCAAGTCTCCAAATGAAGAGTTATAAAATTACTCCTTGCTCAGTTGAGGATTAGCTACTAACACTTATATGCATCTTTCTCAAAATGCGGAATTCACCTTCAATTTAGAAGCCTTTTCTAGATTGAAATGTGGAGTTCTTGTCATTCCTTTTGCGAATGATAAGTCACCCATTTAATCAGTGGAACAAAAATATCGTGCCTTGGAGTTGTTTAGGGGTTGGGGTAGAGAGGAGCATATGGTTTGTTTTTTTAGAAGGAACTCACCTAAATAAATTCTGCATTTTACATTAAGATACGTAACATTTATATTTTTGAGTTTGAAAAAAAAAAACAATATCAGAGAAGGCAAGATCTGATCATGCCATGCTTAATAAATTATCAGAGGAGTCTTTTCAGCCTGAAGCTTTCTAACCTCATGAACCTTAGTTCTGGTTAAAGATTCCACACCCTTCACAGGGGAGCTAATCTGACAGCTACAGAGCTCTGCCATCATCTCAGTTGTGGGCCTGAGTTCTAGTTTACTTTATTCCCTAGGAGAATCAGGACTGGCAGTTTGTTCTTTTGGGTGGATGGCAGAGTCAAAATCACACTCTATAAAACTTGTTATTGGCACCCTGTGAGAAATCAATTCACCATTCACTTCCAAAGGGCTTAGAATAATGTCAATTTTATTTTCTTCCAATTAACAGGCAGAGCCCAAGTTTGTACAGGTGTTCACTTTTTAAATAGCAGCTTGAAACGGTTTGGAAATTTTTCTGGGGATAGGTAGAAGAAACAACAGTAACTTACTAATTAAGAGATGACATGGAAGAATATTTGCAAGATAAAGCCAGAGTGCAGAGAGCCTAAGAAAGTTAAATGTGTTGACCAGAAGAAATTGTGTGTGTGTGTGTACATGTATGTGTGTATACAAGCACGTGAGCACATGGGCATGCACACGTGCAAGCACATATATATGCTTAAAAATAACATGTCATAGCTTAAGTAAGGGAAACATTGCAGTTTGAAGAAAGTGTAAATGAGAATGTAATAAAATCTCTTGAAAATAGGATCAGTGTAATCCTAACTATAATTTTTCAAGTTAAATTCTTAGAGTATAAGTAAAGACTAAAATGCACATTAGCTGAAGTAAAAAATGCAACCAAAATGACTAATGTAGCTAAAAGTAACCTTTACTTATACTCTTGTGCTCCCTACTCCCTAATTGTGTGCTTAAGCCATTGGACTGCCTTGTTGACCAACCTAAGCCCTTTTGATACACTATGTCTTGCCTTGATGATGAAATCTCCTGGAGGCACTGCACACAAACATACCTACAGATAAATGTAATATACACACAGTTCATTGCCACCGACCTTCATAACCTGCTCAGGGCTGGTGTTTGGAACTACTGTCCTAGCTGTGCCTCAGATGCCAATATTGAGTGTAGCTTTAGCCAGTATCTTTATCATGTCACTCAATGATTATGGACAGCACAATCTCCTTAAGACTCCCCATTGCGAAACTTTTGTTGTTTTCACAACATTTTGCAGAGATTACTTCAGATTTTTAAAAAACTGTCTTGTCATTTCAAGATTTTCAAATATTCCCAGTGAGCTGGATAGGAATAGGTTTCAGAGATCTGATATTAGTTCAGTTTTGTACATTGAATGTATCCTTTCAATCTTCCTCTCAATGTTCTTATATACATCTTCCCCCAAAAAAGAGTATAATGTTGAGCCACCATGCTATGAAAAGAATGCATGCAAAACAAAAATAATAACCTTGGAAGTGTTTTGTAAACATTTCTTCTAAATATTATTGTAAATATTTTTTCTAAATATTCTTGTAAATATTTCTTTCTGAATATTTAAATAGTAATACAATGTTACTTTCAAATTTGAAATGTTTTTAAATGAATCCTTTGAGTCAGGAATCAGATTTGAAGTTAGCCAAACTTTCAAAATTGTAAATCAAGGAATTATACACGACAAAAGTTCAGCAGGGTCTGAAAAGACCCCGATTAACCAGAGATATGCTGCTTCTCTCCGGGCGCTTTAGGAACTACTGGGAGTGTGAATGTCACACTAGAGTGGAGAGGGCTCATTTCATATATTTGTTTGAGTATGTGAACATAAGCAGCTTCCAAGTGCATCCTCAAACACCCTTCTATATGTGTTAGATTATATTTTTATTCCAAGATTACCAATTTCTCCATGATATATGAAATGACAGAAGCCCGCCTTCACCAAAAGACTTACACATTTTGGGTAAATCTTCCAATATTTGTATAAATTTACTTTTGTTTTTGAGCTAAGTCAGCATTATCATTCCTATTTTCAAAACACAGTTGATTAATTAATACCTTTAATAATAAATGAGCTATCACTTAGTTATATCTCAGTTGCACTTAGTTAAATTTTACTTACATGGGTTTTTTTTTTCCAGGAAATTAAGTTATCCATGTTTATTTCAAAGCACATTTGTTGTTCTGTATACTTGGAAAACTAACATTTTCAGAGAAAAAATTATCCAAAAAATAGAGTCCTCTTGATGCTATTAAACTGTGGTTCTCCAGCCTGTGGGGTTCATTGGCAAATCGAGCCCCTACAGACTTCAGAGGATCCTTGTTCTCATATCCTTCCTGTGGGGTACACAGCAGGGCAACATACAAGCTGTATTTCCTCCAGCTCATCTACCTGTTTCTGCTGTACAGTTTAACCATATAAAAGCACATATTCTCATTCATGAAATTTTAATTTTTATGACATAAGTTGGTTTTAGTTAAGTCAAATCCTCAAAGCAATTTTCTTTTAAAAAGCTAAAAACCGATTCAAAGACAGTATATAATGGCAATGGCCTAGGAAAAAGAATGTAAAACCTTGCTTCCGCTTGAAATAACAAGTAAACATTTTTAACCTTGAAGTTTATTTTTACAAGTCAATAAATCGGACCTCGAAAGAATCCCTCAGTCACAGTTGCAATACTCTACGAACATGCTATCTATGCCAGTGCCATTCTGTTCATATTTCCTGTTGATATGGAGTATTCAGACAACCTCACAGGGCTAAAATTGCACGGTAAGAATGAGACTAGCCCATTTAAATAGGATCTGAAGCAGCATACTGCTAACTCGGTGTTTTATTAGATTACTAATATCAGCCCTTTTATCTTAAAGGAAAGCTTCAAAGTAAACCTATTCTTTAATGGTAGAAAAAGGTTCCAAAGCAGGTTTACCTTTGAGCCTTCTTTTCCTCTAAAACCACATACTGAATTCTCAAGCCCTAAGGTATTTCTCTTGTTCTCAACTATAGTTGTTAACTATCTTCCTTTTTTTTTCTCCCTTATGGTTCATATAAAAATAATGGTTAAAGTAGTGTTACTCTGTAAGCCGCATGTAGAAATAAGGGCCATGTTTATGGAAATGGTGACCTTTTGAAGTTTGATTAGTAAAATTACCAAGAGAAGGTGTTGCTCCATCCCACCTGATCAGTGGGTAGGCTCTCTTCACCATGCCCCCGCTGGGCATGTTTTTTAAACTCTCCAGAGTTCTAGGAACTCTATAAGCTGAGGGTGGGAAATTGAATAAAGATTGATTCTGAGACTAAGAAAAAAAAGAGTCGTGGTAGGTTATTTTGGGTTTTCTGTTTATTTTTTAATTTTCATTTGGGAAAGTATTAGTACTTGTCAAAGTTCAAAGAATGAACTAGAATACATGATAGCAGTCTAAGATTAGAATCGTAAGTCTGCTTTGTCCTTAGAGATGCTGCTATAGATTCCATTTTTGAAACAGTACAATGCAAGAGGGAAATTAAAATCTTCAACAATGCCTTGTTTTCTAAATCTTGTTTACAGAATTCTCCCAATAATATGAGCCTGAGTAATCAACCGGGCACTCCGAGGGATGATGGCGAAATGGGGGGAAATTTCTTAAATCCTTTTCAGAGTGAGAGTGTAAGTATTCCCTTGACTATATTTTTATAGCTAGATTTTATTTTGAAGCAATTCGATTAGAATAAATGCACAGAGCCATTATTACAACTGTTTAGAGTTCAGTAGGTTGATCTTTTAAAAGTTAGAAAATTAAGTGGAATTTCTTTGAAAAAATTAAAAAATAAGCTTTGTCTTTTACTCCTGTGTACGAAGTTACAAAAACAAAACAGTACTACTAATTTTCTTGTAGAGAACCATCCACTTTAAAGGAACACACTAGAAACAGGTTGCATATGTGATGGTTTTATGTTTTCCCATTACTGAAATGCCTTGAATCACTGCAAAACCAGGTCTGTCCTCAGGGCTGTCCTTAAGGCTCTAAAATTATATGATGTCTTTACTTCCACAGATCTCACTGCCTGGTCAGTTAACCTGTTGTTTACATTTAACCTGAACTGGATACCCAAGTGGTTTTTTAGAGTGTGATTATGGTGTTAAGCAAAGGTAGTATCATTCTGTATCTCCACAAAAGCAGTAAACTTCATTCGTTCATTTAACAAACAATTACTGAGCACTTACCATGAGCCAAAGCAACATTAGCTAGGCACTGGAGAGACCCAAAAAATAATGTGGTGTCTTTTCTCAAAGAGTTATTACATAATACAATGATTTTGTTAACTAATAGCTCACATTAGAAGTATCTATAGAATTTTTTTTAATAGAATTTCTCAGAACTCTCCCTAGAACGAGTGAATAAGGATCTCCAGGAGTGGGGCTGGGCAAACTCAAATGTGAAAAGCTGTGTCCGTGATGCTGATGGACATTCTCTGCTAAGAGCTACTGAATTGGACTGTAGCATAAAGGATTTCAAAACTCAAACTAGTTTCATATTCCCAGGATCAGTATTCATGCCTCCACAAATGTATAGCCATCATTAAAATTGATTATGGAGGATCTACCAAACTACAAACAGAATAAGAAGAGCCAACTACCCCCCTTTTGCCCTAACTCACCCTTTACCAGAGGCGTGATGCCATCAGAACCTGAAGCAGTGGCTAGTCACATGTCTACTGTTGCAGAAAATAGCCACTTCCCAAAAGGAAACCCAAGGTTGAGTGTTCTGTGGATTCTTTCACTTCTTCGTATTGAACTAGCGCCTCTGTCTGGGACAAGACTTCCCCTGATTTTAGGCTTTCCTTTCGTTAAAACTAGAAATAAAATTATGCTTATCTTTAGTTTGTTTTATTTTCAGGATATGTATGATTAGTGAGGACAAAGAAAGTACACCTAAAAATTCATATAAAAAAATCAAAGGATTAGCCCATCAGTAATGAGGAAATAGGAAAAAAACATAAGAAAATAGTGTGTCAGAATGCTTAGGATTATGGAAATTATTTTTTAGATCCTGGTTGTTTCACTAGTTTGCTGCAAGAGTTGGACAAATTAGTTAATTTTAATTAATTAATGTTCACTTTATCTAATTAGACACATTTATTTCCTTTTCTGTGAATTCTTCCAGCAATAAAAATGGTATAATTCAGTGAGATATATGATAATTAATTCAGTTCAATTCAACATTTATTGAGCCTGCTTTATGCAAAGCACTAGGTTAAGGACAAAGTATTCTGAGATAAATATAACATGTCCCTAACCTCAAAGAATGCAATTTGATGGGGAGAACAAGCTTACACAACTAATTAAACCGTATGTCAGATTAGTAAGTACTAGAGTAGATATAAGTCAGGTGTTTTGAAAACACAGAGGTAATGGTTAATTTTGGATGGGGGAAGAAAACTTTTTTAAAAAGGTTCCACATGCCTTTAACTTTAGAGGAACTCACCCCTCTCCTTTCTTCCCAAATCTGTCATTACCGACTGCTGCCCTATTTAACAGTAGGAAAAGGGATGCCACCTCAGGGTTGGCATCAGGAAGCTCTTCATAAGGATCAGAGACTCAGATACAACAAGACTTTAAAAACTGTGAAGATTAAATACCAGCCTCACCCTTTAACCCCAACTAGAGTATGCATACGAAACCCAGCAGACCCTTTGGTGAATTTGTGCACAGAAGAGAGAGCCGCTGGAGCAGGGCTTCTCCCATCCCCGACCCCTGGCCCAGCCTCACTACCCTTCAGGCCAAGAAGAAGGTAAAATGCCAGACTGCCATGCAGAGATATAAAACAAAAGCCCCCTCCCGTTCTCTCCCTCGCTCACTCCTGTCCCCACCAGAGAAGTCCCAGAAGGCCACATGATCGGACGGCGGTTGAGCAGCTGTAGTACCGCCTGGAGGGAATGCGGCCTGGGCAGCAGGTCCACACTGGCTGCCCCATTCCTTTGTCTGTCTGTGAGGGGTTTGCCATATTATGAACGACGTCATTGTTGTCTGTGGCTTTCTGTATCATCACATCAACACACATTTCTGTTCAGACCTTTTTCAAAGATCAAGAAATGAGAGCAGAGAGGAAGGAAGACAAAAGAGATTCGTTGCTGACAAATACAAGAAGGCCTTAAGGAAAGAAAGAGGCGAGGTATCTCCAACAAGTTATCTTTACTCTAACCAAGGAAAAGCAGAACTACTTAATGAATTCAAAAAGAAAACATTCTCCAATGAATAAACATGTGAAAATCTAGTACGTTTTAATGCACAGAACTCTGAAAAGCACATATTGTCGAGCAGTCGGCCTTTGGAGGATTTGTCAGCCTCTCTCCTGAAGTTAAGCCACAGACTAAGGCCTGGGAAGGGAGCAAACATCTAATGAGTGCTTGTTATGTACAGACGCCATCTGAGTCACTTCACACGCACTACTTCCTTTCATTCATACAGAAGCAAAAACGCCCAACCCAAAGTCAGAAACCTCTCAAGGCCAACACACTTTCCACAGAAAAATGTGAATCAAAAAATGTTTCACTATTCAGCCTCTGTTTTCTTGGATCATAAACAAGGCCTTTATTTCAAGAATCACAGATGCCCCCTAGTGTAAACTATAAAATGTTGGTTTTTAAAATACAGAATACAAAAAGGCTTAATTTTAAAAAATAGTGCTTCCTGCTTCTCAAGTAAAGAAGTCAGTTAGTCTTATTTCTTGAATTAATTTCGCAGAATATTTTATCCATGGCATCAAACTATAATCAGTTGAGCAAACATGATATTCAAATCACAGTATCAAATAGGAATTAAAACAAGGTGGAAGATTATTTTCTATTACCCTACTGCCCTTTGTCATTTTCTGCTGTTGTAAAGAAATCACATATGTCCCAATTTTTTTTACATAGTCACACGCTAAATGTATTTCATTTTAGTTTATCCCAGAATAGCTGCTCTATTCTTTACTTATCTCTCATTAAGAAAATCAAATCTTACACAGATGCTTAGGCATAGAAATGTAGTGAGATCTGAAGTATTCTTGAACTGTATAAACAGGGACTTGTGTACATTGTTCAAAGATTTAACGGATATCTCTGATAGATTCCATGGTGCATGCACTGCACATAATCAAGGGAAAAAAATCACAAGTTCTCTAGTTCATCCCAGGGCATGTCATTTCAAACTACATTTTACATAAAATGGTAAAATAAACTAGTAGTATATGTTTAAAATTATACCTTTAGGTTTTACTTTTTTTTTTTTTTTCCTTAAACCGAACGCTAATGCTGTCAATAGTTTTCTAAGAGACATTTTACCCTCTGCATCAGGAGAACCAGACTCATGGAAGAGTTTGGAAACAGGGCAACCTGATACAGCAGCATTCTGGCACAAACATTACAGCCGTACAGTAGAAACAGCACAGCGTGATCTCCGGACAGCACACCATGAATATTTTATGTCTCCAAATCTGATACCCCATTTCACACCTACTCTTCTTTTACTTCTGGGAAACTGCAAGCCACTTCTCTTCTACTTTGAAGAATAGTACTCAGTAGCAAAATTCCTTGTTACTTGCACATTCTGTGAGTTTTTCTAGAAATTTGGCGATCTCCCTTAATGTTACTTACTTGAAGCAATTTCAATAAAGACAGCAGCAGATGAGCAGTTTACAACCTTAGCAGTGCCAATAGCACATCACTGATGTAGACACACATCAAAACAATCCATTTTACTGTACCAGATACACTTGGAACATCATTTTACAGTTACTTGTCCTATTCAGAAATTAAGTTTTATAACATACTTGCTAATATTTCTGAGTGGTATTGCTTGGAGCTGCTGCCTCCATCCTTTCTGACTGAATCTGGCCCTTGCTTTCTCTTTTGTACTTTATTTTTCCCCATACTTTCCTCCCTGGACAAGCCTAGCTCTCTTAACTTCCCAATGAATCTGTAACAAGTTTACATTTTTCTGTAAGATTTGCTTAAGACATTTGAAATATTAGAGGTTAAAAATCTTAACAATTGCCAGTGTGAAGAGATGGCAGCAACCAACAAACATGCTTGATAGCAGAGAATGAGTCTTCACCATATTTCCCCATGTATAAGACACACCCTTTTCCGAAAAATTTGGGGTCTAAACACTGGGTGCGTCTTATACAGTGGTTGTAGTTGTTGTTTTTTAGTTGCATTTTCTGCTTTTTTCGCACTTGTTTTTGTGCTCATACAACCACTGTATAAGACGCACCCAGTTTTTAGACCCCAAAATTTTCGAAAAGGGATGCATCTTATACATGGGGAAATACAGTATATCTGTTTACCTACACCCATACTTTAGCAGTGTATATTAGAATGAAGCCTATCATATTTTAAACTGTATTCCCTAATGTTACATGACATATATGACATGAGAATGAACTAGAATAATGCTTATGAAAAAAGAATTCAAGAATTTTTAAAATCCCGGTTATTCAGGATGTGCATTAAATGAGATGGTCTCTAGAGTTAATTAAGACTTATTCAGAAAGTTGTTTTTCAGACATTTCCTTTGACGTTCTTTCTGAAATACTTTAGTATCTCTTACTGTTTTTAGATTATTAGTATAATATACCCAATAAAATCTTTGTCTTGAAATAATGATTAATGATTTGGCTGTGCTATTTAAATTTAAATTAATTATAATTAAATAGAGCTAAATTTTCAGTTCCTAAGTTGCACATAGCTACATTGTAAGAGTTCAGTAGCCATGTGTGGCTAATGGCAGTTGTATTGGACAGCACAGAATAGAACATATCCATCATCACAGAAAGTTCTCTTGAGAAGCACTGATTGGATCACCGATTCTTACTGTAAGGAACAGTAGCTAAAGAAAGCATAGATTAAATTTTTCTGTGCCCATATTTTGCCATTTTCTCTAAGGTGTTCTGCTTTTAATAAAACCTTGGTATTCATTTATTTTGCTGTTGTTTATTCTTACCCCTAAAAGTCAAATGTCAAAATATAATTCTGTTTCATGAAAAGCTGTGGATAGTTCATTAAAGCTTGCTGTCATTTATACGGGGAGATTTGCATGGCATCTTCTGATGAAATGGGGGTGTGTCCCCCTTCCAGCACAGGATCGGGGGTGGGCTTCGTCACTCCTTGTCCATGATTGTTTTGGGTTTCTGGGGGGGTTTTGCTTTGCTTTCTTTGCTGCCCATATCAAGGATAAAGGGGGAGAAGTTTTTCTGTCAAACTGAATCCCCTTCCTCCTCTCTGGCAGTCTCCTTTCTGTATCACACTACTCACTGTAATCCAACGTACGGAGTCAGTAACATATGTAATTTAGCTTTCTTATACTGAAAGGAAACCTGAGGCTGTTAAGTGATTAACAAGTGGATTTTTCTTGATTTGACCTGTGTTTAAAGGATTAACAGTCCTCCCCCATGGTTGTCCTGTGACTCATTTTCAGGCCTAGTAATCCATGTTTACTCAGGATCAATGTGGGTTTTTTTTAATTTGATCCCTAGATTTACCCCTAATGACTTTCTGTCCAGACTTTTGCCAGCTAAGCCATTGTCACCCTGTGCTCTTCCCCAGGGAATCTTGCTTTCCCTATATTAATAAACCCATCCTTATCTTAGTACACTGTTACCTCATTTCTGGCTCCTTCAGTACCCCCAACTTATGTGGAATTCACAAAATTCTACCCTGCCTGCTCCCTTTTTAAAAAATGCATGCTCCCCTTCCCAGGATCATCACTGTCTCAGATTAAGCCCCTGCATCCTGGGACAATCCCCTTGACTTTCTCTGCCTCTTTCCATGAGGCACAATCATTATTAGCATATTAAAAGGAATTCCCTGTTGCCCTGGTCCTCATAGGTTTCTAATAAACATTTGTAAAATGTAAGGGTCCACATTTATATTTCAATCTAGAAACCCACTTCATCTGCAGACCACTACCATTTGGGAGGGGATGCCCTCCCCGCCATGTCAGAAGACCTAGAGCTGTGCTGTCCAAAATGGTGGCCACCAGCAACATAGGGATTTAAACTTAAATGCATGAAATAACATTAAAATTTTAGTACTTCATGTGCTCAGTAGCCTCCATGTTGAACCGCACTTTCTTCCATCACTGAAGAAAGCCCTGTTGGACAGCACTGCTCTAGAGTCTGTTCCTCAAAAATAGGAAGGTAGATTAACATAATTATCAAAGTAATTGCTCTCGGTTCCTCTCTCAGTCATTTTTGGGACCACTTTTCCAAATTTCTGAAAGGCTCACCTTTTACCAATTGCCACCCTCATCACATTGACTAGTCACACATAACAATGCCCCTACTTCCACCCAGAAATGACTGTGGATTGAGATTGGAAGAGGGAAAAAGGTGTATATATCAATGTACAAATCAGACTCTTAAGTATTTTAAATGCTTTATGAGAACTTCTTAGGGCCAGCTGGGAGTTGCTTTTGTTTTGTTTTGTTTTGTTTTGTTTTCCTTACACTGAGCACTTTCTGTGTATTCAATAAGTACATGGCTTTAAGGATTATATATTTAATCCTCCCCAAACCCCTTTAAGGTAGATGCTTTTGTTAAACCTATTTTACAGGCAAGGAAACTGAAGCACAGATAGATTAGGTAACCTCCCAAGTTTATATAGTTAGTAGATAGCAAGACTGTCCCTCATACTTATTTCATTATGATTCAACCTTGGGCTGAGTTTACCCAGTTTGTTACAAGTGCCCACAAAACATGAACCTGGCTAGGAGAAGGCTGAGGGGCTGGGTAATTATCAACCACCTAAGTCCAGGGAGAAAATGTGACTGGTTGCTTTCCAGAGGAAATGTTAAAAATGTCAGGATTAAGTCAATTCCATATAAATTTACTCTTATAATAGTTTTTTATTTTTATGTTGTATGAGGTTAAAAACTTGAGCATAAAAGATTATAAGGCATTAAAATTCACAGTTACTACTGTTTACCAAGAAGAACATTAATAATCTGTAAAAGAATTGTTATTAAAATATGGATTCTTCTTTCTTTCTAGTACTCCCCTAGCATGACAATGAGTGTGTGATCCATTACCAAGTCTCCTCATGAGAACCACAGTGAGTCAGCCCTTCACAGAACTACTACGGAAGAAAATTATTCATCACCATGTACAGTTAAACAAAGGAATCTCAGTCACACCAAACCAACCTTTTTATTTCCTGCTCTCTCCCCTATTTTGTGAAGAAAGCGGGTTCAAACATGATTCAAACAACTGTACGGAGCGGCATATTAGAATTGCCCTAAAATGAACTGCAAATAATTATCTGTGTATGTATATGTGTGGGAAAGAGAATGTATTGTATATGTGTATGTTATATGGACATATACACATACATACATTGACCCACAGGACATTGTAAAATATTATCACATGACATCTTAAGTAGAAATAAGTAGGGACTTTTATTCCATCCTTTTTTTCACGTTTACATTTTAATTATTAAAAGTTGCTCCTGCCCCTCCCTGAACTATTTTGTGCTGTGTATATCACTGCTTTATATAAGTTATTTTTTAAGGTGAACTCAGATGTTATGGTTTTGTAAATGTCTGCAATCATGGATAGGAATAAAATCGCTTATTTGAGAGCTTTCATTAAATTGCGTCCGATGCAAGTTATCCTGTGAATCACAAAGTGTACTGTCTCAAAAAAAAAGAAAAAAAAAGAAAGTGTGTCTTTATCTTTATGTCAAATCAAACAATTTATCAGTTACCTTCAGTGAAAAGTATTTTTGTACCTTTTGTTGAGGAAAAATACTTCAAATCAACAAAAGCTTAACTGTGGGCTAACACTATATTCCTGCCGTAACTACTTTAGATGGGATTCTTGATTTGTTTGTCTTCGATGATACAGAAAATCATTCATTAACCCCAGTTGCTTAGACCATAGCAATACAGTGACAGGGGTTGTCATATTTTTAGCAATGTATTTTCTCTTCAGCATGATAAAGCCCAGAAGTAGCAACGAAAACATTTGCTTGAATTACTAGAGCTAAATTTTTAATAACATACTAAAGTGAAATGGTATCTGATTTTTATTCTGACTTCTTGTGAACATTTCCACATAGACATTGCAAAGAAAATGCATTCAAATGACTGAGACTTTCAGCACAAGGGGGAAAAGAGTTTGTACTACACCCATGGGACCCTGGAGTACTGTTTTTCTATCCAGGTATCTTGTTTACTAGCAGCAGAATTGACTGTAATGGTCCCTTCTGTGCATATGTTTTCACTTCTCTGCTCTCTTTGCAAGATAGAGGACCTTTATTTAGAGGGAAATAATTTATAGTGACTATATTTCATCTGGCCATTGACTTCAGCAGGCTAAATCTACATTGTGTAACTAACTGTTCAGAAAATAAATGAACAAATGTTAGAAAATTTTAAAAGAAGACAATTTTCCCTATGAAAACACCTTGCTCTGAGGCACTTTCCAGCTCTTTTGGGGTTTCTGTGCTTAATCATATATACAAACACCAAAATCGTAGTAGAAAAGTGTGAAAACTTTAATTGTAGACTCTAAATGATAAGTTGGTGATCATTTCTGTTAAAATTGTGATACAGATAACCATTGATAAACATCAACTGTATTTCCAAATGCCAGAGACTTTGAAAAGCATTGTTTAATTTCAGGTAAGAGGAATCCTCCTTTCTTTAGGTTTGCCATCTCTAAATGAAAATTTGGCAGTTTATTTGCTAGTTCCTGGTCCCAGATGACTTACTTCTCTCAAACTCTTAATTATTTATTCCTTCAGAAAATAAGGATTTTGTCTGTGCATGATAGGGATACTGGGCAGAACTGTTCAGGGGGAAAAAGGAAGCTGAATTAAATTAATGTTGCAGATTTAAACTCTAATCCAGTGAGTCGCCATTGATCCCAGTGTACAGGATCCTAGGACTGCACACTGGAGATCAGCTACAAGCTTTCAAACTGCAGAGAACTTTCATGAAAAATTCAAACTAAAAGGTCTTTAATTGAAGCCAAGGCAACCTGAAGATGACACTTTGTACAGACACATAAATTTACCAAAAGTAATTTTAACTTTCATTACTTATAATTGTATGAACATTGACAGTCCTGTGACTAAGCTTCATCTAGAATTTTCAAACATTTTTTGTACTCTTTTCTTTGTTGTTACTGATCTTTAATTTCTTTTATTTTCCTTCTAAGAAGGTATTGTTTCTTATCACAAAGAATCAACCTGATTTTATTTGCCTTTATTTTAGGGGTAATATTGGAATATGAATGGCAATATAGGCCCTATTATTTCTAGCCTATTTGGTCAAAAAAAGTAATATTGGATTTTTTCAAGGTAGAGCAATCAACTCATCATAAGTACTAATCTCTTTTTCTCTTTTGGAACCCATATTAAAAATAGCTATTTCCAATTTTTTTAATTCCTGAAATAGTTGAAAAGTTGTTTTTTGAGGAAAAAATTATATTCAAGAAAACCCGAAAATAAGTACATTTAATTTTATATCAAATAATTTTTTCATGTACCAAATGGAGGATAGTATATCAGTGTATTAATTTTTGTTTAGGTTTTGAATCATTTAAACCTAATCCTTTTCTTTTGCAATAAGACCATTTAACCTTTTTCTCTTGTGTTTTCTATTTCATGCATTTGTGTTGGTCTTGATATATACTACCTGTTCCTGAGTTGTTTTTACACATTTCACCTCAAAGTAATAATATCAGCAATTCTTCCCTACATTGAACATATAAAGTACACATATCAAATGTGAAAATAAGTAATAGATAAAAGCATTCATTCTCATTACTCTGCTTTGCACTATTCCTAACTCACTACAGTTGCAAGTACATGTTACATTCTTTCTAAGGTATGTATACTCTTAACCAGCTATTTTTCTTGTAGCAAAGTTACCCATTGGAACAAAGGCCATGGAGAGCCGTTGACCTGGTAATACACCGCACCCTCAGCAGGGGAATCTCAGTGCTGCTTTACAAGTTTCCAGTTTGGACTCAGTGGCTAAGGATTAGGATTACACAGCTAGCAATCCGAATTTAAGATTTTTCTCTTGCCAAAGATTAACAAATTAATTCTGCTCCCTAAGCCATGGAAAGTGTCCCAAACACCCCTTTCTTTCTAGGAATAAAAGAAAGAAAACTTCCATTTCTAGTTTTATGGTTCTCTAAGATATGTCTGCACTGTATTGAATTTCATAGGTTCATCCAGTTACCACTCTTCCTGTAGTTTAAAAGACAGCCAATGAAATAAATGAGTTCAATGTGGGGCAGGAGGAAGAAAGCCTATGTCTGCCCACGCCGTTTCTTCACATTCTCATTCTGGGCATGTGCAGAAGGCATCCAGAACTCAGGTTTGCCACGCTCCTTAGTACTATATTACGACGTCTTTTTATTGTTGTTCATTAAGTTAAACACTATTTAATATTCCCTTTGACCATGATGTCTTGATTGGCTCCTTGCATGCCTTCCTCCCAGTCCCAGCATATAATGTGCACATTTTTACTCCTCAGCCCTTACAGTTTTCTTCTTCATACAGTATATAATTTTCCCAGGGGAAATCACTGCGATTCCATTTCTTGATTATCACTTAATTAGAAGCAGTGCCACATATCGCCGCTACTTGACTTTGGAAAGCATTCCAGTAGTATTTTGACACTGGTTTTCCCTTTATTTTTTATGTGTTACGTACTGTAATTCTCTTTCCTTGAAAACACTAATTGGTACAAGTAACGCGTGAGTATATAGTGTGGGAAGGGGAAGTTCCATATGGAGGGGGAGAAGTCGCCACATATTTTCCAAAAAGTAGATTAGTCCTTTTTTTATTTTTTAACGTCCCCCCCTCTGGGTGGAATAAGCTTTTTTTTTTGCTTGCTGTGAGGAGCAGGGGTCTGTGTTTGCTTAAAACAGTGGTACCCAGTCGTAAGTATATGCAAGGGGCTCCCTGGGTCTGTGAGCCAGACCTTGAGAAATACTGGAAAAGTGAAAGAAAGGATGGTGAACCACTATTAATACACTTTCGTTTTGCATGCTGAATTGATACATATGCTTGCACATTTTGGTTGGAGTTGGGAGTATAAAGTTTGCTCACAAAACACTCCCACTGTGATTTATATATTACATTATAGCACAACTGGTAATTATCAAACATAATTCTTTCCTTTGAACGCTTTTTATTTCATTGGTAAAGTAGGTAATGAAAGTGATTTGGGATGAAAAGAGAGTAGTACAAGACATAAGCAGACGGATCTCCTATGCCAGCTTTAACACACCCATGTTAGCGCTTCCACTTTAGGCCTTCTTACGAAGGCACTGCGTCTAAAGGTAAGAACATAAATGATCATTTAATCATTGGTCACTTCACTGCCAGGAATCGTGCAATAATTACATAGAGTTTTTTGATGTTGACATTATTATTAATTTATTTCACCATTACCCATGGAACTGCAATTCAGATGGAAAGAGAATGACCTACGGATGAAAAGCACCTGATACCTCTTTAATTACTCGTCTAAACCATATTTTTTTGTTGTTGTTAGTTTCAGGTGTACAGAACAATGCAATAGTTATCCTATATTCTAAAGAGAAATTCTCAGTTGAATAAGTCTCCTAAGGAGAATTTCCTCGGTTAAGTTTCCCCTGTTAACTTGGTATAATTGGTCTTCCTAAATAGAAGAAAAATAATTCCTGTAAGTAGCTCAATGTGAATATTTTTGCTGTCTACATCCTTAAAAATGAAATACAGCACTATCTCTCTCTCTCTCTCTCTCTCTCTCTCTCTCTCTATATATATATATATATATATATATAGTAAATCTTACAGTGAGACTATGTTTTCATGTATAGGATTGCAGTTTGTGTCTTCCCTCTTTGTGGATTTAATATCCTTAGGGTAAATTGGACTCATTTTGATTATCCCAATTATTGAAATCTTATCTGTTCCTAGTAATATTTAGCATTTAATTTTTAAAATGAATGTACTTAACATGATAAAGGCGAGTATTAATATTACTAGAAAAAAAAGATATAAAGGGTTTATTCCCAGTTAATATTAAAAGCTTATCCCACTTTCTCTTTTGCACCAATTACCAAGAAAGTGAAATTTGGATTCCTCACAATATCTTAGAACATCATACAATATGTTGTCAGCTAAATTTCCTTCATGTCCTGGTAAAATTGCTCAGTAAAATATAGTTAACCATCTACTTCATAGGAAACAATTCAAATAATCTGTCCAGTTTACATAATTTGAAAATTCTACTTTAAATTTAGCAAAACTCTAGAAAAAATTTTAATATAAACTGATTTAAATGTGTGTATGGCTTTCTATCAGATCATATTTGAAAATGTTTTACATTCCTTACATTAAGACAACTAAAAACTTAACAGAAACTACATGTTAGAATAAATCAAGGATGTGCTATTGTCTCAAACATGAAAAAATGCAAAAGTATTATAGAATTCTTCGTAATAGTCATCAGCCTATTGAATTGTTTCATTTATATCATTTTGATTTACATAATTTAAGATGTTTTCTTACTATATGTGTTAAATTGTTACATGTAATGTTTTCCTGGAAAAATAGAATTATTTGTAAGGTTTTTATAAATGCAC